TTCTAAACCCTTTTCTGAATCCTACTAAGCTCGTGTCTTCAATGGTACCTTGAACCTGTGGAACTCACTGCCACAGTCTGGCCTGCATGGAGCCCACCCTTCCATATCACTGCTACAGACCATTTCTCTCCCACCCTTTTCCTGCAACTACAGCGGTTTTCCCACAGGCGTGGGAAGTGCAATCCCTCTGTACTCCAGCAGAGGCCAGCCTTTTCTGAATCCTACTAAGCTCGTGTCTTCAATGGTACCTTGAACCTGTGGAACTCACTGCCACAGTCTGGCCTGCATGGAGCCCACCCTTCCATATCACTGCTACAGACCATTTCTCTCCCACCCTTTTCCTGCAACTACAGCGGTTTTCCCACAGGCGTGGGAAGTGCAATCCCTCTGTACTCCAGCAGAGGCCAGCCCTGCAGCAGCGCAGCGAGGGAGCGCAGCACGGCCAAGTCTTCCCCTTATCCCCGGCGTCAAGCCCCCAGGGCGTATCCCTGCCAAGAGATAAGCTTGTCAGGTGCTTCGGCCGAAGGGGAGCTTGCCTCCCCAGTAGTCATTACAGCTGCCAGCAGCCGGAGCAGGCATGTGCCCCAGCCGCCCTGCTGTAGGGGAACCGAGCCAGCAAAGCCGCTTTCGAGCTCCCCGAGAGAATCACTGTAAACCCTGGCACGTAGGCCCAGGGTCTGCTTGTGCAGCCAGCACGGGACGCAGGCCCCCTGGAACACACAGGAGGGAGGCCCGTGTCTCCCACAGCTGAGTGGGGCTTAAAAGCTCATCTCACCCCCAGGAAAGTGGGTCCATGCTAGCCGTTACCTCCCAGCCGTGCACCCCTAGCACACGGCCACACAGAGATCACAGCGCTTTCCCAGTCTCTGCTTCCGCCCCCAGCAGCCCTACTTACAGGGAGAAGGGAGCTAGCCTTGCTACGGGGCAGGGCCAGGAAGAGTCCAGGAGCCCAACTGTCCCTCCACTGTGCAGCATTATCCCTGCAGCACAGGACAGACGGGAGGGCTGGAGCAACCCCAGCACAGCCCCTGCACTTCTCTGCCAGAGGCCCATGAAGGTGCAGCACTGGGCTGCTGCCGCTGGGAAGCTTCAGCCTATAACGGCGCCCTCCCATTCAGCTACATGAAGGAGCAATCCTGTGCCACTGTTCAGAGAGCCCGGCCAATGGAAAGCCACCTTAGGGGCGCAGCTGGGCTCTCTCCACAGACCCAAGGGGGTGGGTCGGCACAGGTCCAGGCTGCTTGTGGGTACCAAGGCTTCCCGCGCATCGGCCTGTGCTCCAGAGTGAGGAGTGGGACACGGTGTCCTGCTGGCCAAGTATCCACATGGCTGCGGGGGAGCCCGAGGGCTCGGGCAGTTAGCCAGCCAGGCTGACGCCCGGCTAGGGCTCTGGAACGC